CCTCCCAGATTTCCTGATTGCTGAGATGAAAGTAGGTGGCAAAATTCACTCGCTTCGGAACACACACACACACACACAGAAGACCTCGCGACAATATGCGTTTTTGCTGGCTGTAACAGCGCTATAGCGCTGCACAGCAAAAACGCATGAAAATGGTGCATGAAATGCTATACAGCTTACAATACAGTGATTATGCACATTTATAATGCTAGTCAACAATGACAAAAAGCTATAACTTACCAAGGTTTCAAAACTGAAGTCGAGCTTCCTTTTGCTACACTCTCTAATAACAGTAGAGGTAGTGTGGGGTGCCAGCCTGCCACATTTCGAAGATATCTTGAAAAAAAAAACGTCAAGGTCAGGAGTCCAGCCTTTTCTTATTTTATCGCCCTTTGCACCGCCTACTCCCCATGACACTTTTAGTAATTATATCTTCACTTTAAAAAAAAGACAATAGAAAATTCCCGCGGAGCCGAACGACTCAGATTTTAGCCGGCCAACCCCGCTTCAACATGGATGCTGAGGGTGGAGCATTGCTTCTTTTTTACATCTCCTTATGAGAGGCGGACCTGCCATTTTTGATATAAGGGTCTCTGCTTCAATGGATCGTCTAAGTCCGTTCAAAGGATAGACTGGGAAAGGAGCAGATAGGGTACTTTAAATGTGCCAGCAATTTTAAACGCTCTTTTGTCTACTTCTTTTTCTTTGTTTAAATTTACGAAATGTGGGCTTGGATTCCCAATTACAGAAAATTGTCTTCGTGTATTAAACTCTCTTGTAATGAAAAGCTGTGAACGATATGATAAATGTAAAACACATGGAATCTGTGCCTTTGAGCATTACAAATCTTTGAAATCAAAATTCATCATGAGTTCCCCCAAAAAACGGAGTGCGCTAGCGTGGACGCCGATAACCAGAACTTCTGTCATAGACCTGTCAACGGGCGTTTCTGGAATCGTCTGTTCGAATTAAAGTAGCACTAGAGTGATCTACGAAGCACGGGCTCCATCGGCCCGAGAGCATCACAGGCGGTCTAGAGAACAGGTGCTAAAGAGTCGATGATTTATAATGGCAGAGGTATTGATCCCTGAGGAGAAATGGGACCGAGGAGGAGGGGAGTTGGGATGGAGGCTGCAGAGGGCGAGAAAGCCGGATAAGATTTTGATGCACTTGTTCAACTAAAAATTCGGAACTTCTCCGTGAACGAATTTTGGTAAAGGGTTTCGTACACGAACACATATGATTGAATTTTTTCGGCGTAACATAGAAGCTTTTCCTCATAAAACTTCACTATTCTAACTCCTCTAGTACAACCGGTGGGATTGTCTTTACTGCCTAAAACCGTTTCCCTTTTCTAGCTTCTGATTTAGCAATCGCTAGGTATATTT